AAGCGGCGGCTTTGCTGGCGCTGACCCAAAGAAGCGGCGAGGGGTAAGTTTCGCCCCTAATAGAAGAGTCTATGGTCTGACTTTAGCACGCAGCGGGCTGCGCCACCTGGCAGATGTCATAGCTGCAATCGCGCGGAAACCCCAGAATGGCGCCGCGGCCCTGATGGAGCAAGAACCCTCTGCAATGCCTGCGGTCTACGTAAGTCCATACAATGAGACCCCACACCTTTTCTTACGTCTTTCCAGATTATGCAAAATTAACCCGTAAAATGGGCGGGAAACAAACTATGGGCGGTTCGAATCTCCGACCGAAGTCGCTAGGTGATGGATCACCTGCAGCGTAACACTGCCTTCTACGGTGAAACCTCAAGATCATAGCGAGGCATTCTTTACAGCTACGCGGATCCACCTCATGACAGACCTTCTAGTTGCTATCGTCCTCGCAAACACGCTTTTCGATAATACACAACATTCCCAACATCACGATTGAAACCTATGGAGGCAAGTTATGCCTCGAGGAGAAACATATCATAACAATCATCTCTCGGATCTGCGCACTTCTTTATCTAATCATACAACATTTCTCTGGAATTTCGTCGGAAATAATCGAATTTGAATGGAAACCGGAGCTCTCGGCGCGGAAATTATCACTATTGCATTTTAGGATGGGTTACAACATCTTGGGACATGCTTGTTGCCTTGTTAGAGGCTCCGTAAATCTTAATTTGGGTGTGGGTTTTTGTGGATGTGTGAGCATACAACGTGTTTCATTTTCTTTCATCCATGGGGCAACTTTATGTCTAGCAAAGAGTTTTTCCATCGACCTGCGTTTGTTCCTTCGATCTGGGGTTTCCTTCTTGGGCTGTTATTATTATACCAGCAACTGTTGCATCTTGGCACTCGGTTTGGGAAGCCTTCAGGGCCCTGGTTTTACTGAAGGCGTTCTCTGTATTCGATTCTTTTTTGGTGGCTCTGAGAGGAGCGTCCGGTCGGCGTTTGGTGTTGAGCGACCCTCTACGGAGAGGAAGCTGAGGATTCCTGGGCTTCTTTTTGTACGACTTTGACGCTTTTTTAGAAGTGTACGAGACCGTCAGCCAATTTCGGGCAGATCCAAAGAGTGACGTTAGTATGGCTCTCAAAAGCCAAGGGAAGACAAAAGCTATCAACTCCAACGGAATGGAATTCTATCTGAGATTACAACGGTCCAACGATCATCTGCTCCTCGAGCTTCGTTGTCTGTAGGCTTGTTCATTCTAAGCTTTGCTCCGAAGGATCGGGCTACAATGTCTCGCTTTAATTTTCCTAATTGGCAATGTACCAAGCATTTGCTTCCACTGCGTCTCAGATCTAGGCGGCCCGATACTGATATAGAAAACGCAGCACAGAGATGATGCCATCCCACCGACGAGGGCCCCGGCATGCTGCATCTGGCTGTATCATCTGTCAGGCAGCAAATCGGGTGTGTAGCACCCTTCCATGTCTGCCGGTGGTTTGAGCACTTGTTACACCTTGTGGGTATATGCAGGACGCCTAGAATACCCCAACGATAACACCGTCAGTCGTGCGCAATTGTGGTTACGGCTAGCACATCCAAAATGCACAGCGTGACCATTCTGATCGAGAGTATGCTAAGTCGTGGCGCACTAGCATCCGAAGCCGCTGACGGTGAATGGAAACATGGCTGAACGATTTTATCATGGCTTGCTGAAGGCCGTATGTTACCCCAGTTTTGCAATTAAGGATCGCCTCTGCCAGCTCACTCTCTCCGATGTACACAGTCCAGCGATGTTTCCACAATCGTGTCATTCTGCCCAGTAGAAGCCCAACGAATGCTCTCTCCACCTGGCGATGGACTTTCATATATGCGTTAAGCCAACCAGTTGCTCTGATAAAAGGCGAGGCGTGAGCTGTTTAGGGCTCGTCCAGTCCTATCCAACATATAATTGCTTTTTGTGAGCTCGCCATCTGTAATAGACGCTGCACGTGGGTGCCGGCATGGTGGCACCGGGCATAGTAGCTGGCCGCTATTATATGGTTAGATTAGATAGAGATGTCGCTGTTTACGGTGTTTTTGCTGTGCTTTCTCGTTGGCTGTTAAGTGCGATGGAGAAACGTCGTGCGGACGAGGCAAAGAGCGAGGAGAGAGGTCCCAGGTGGATGGTGCAGGTGCCGAAAAAGGGAAAGCGAGACAGATGCCGTCATCCGCCTTTGACAGGGATTTGCCGTCCTCGGAACGCTCAATTTTTAACGGCGGCAATAAGTCATTAATAATCACCAGCCTGCCACCATGATTCCCTTCCCGCGCCTTCATTCCTCTATCACACCGATCAGACAGCAGGGTGAAAAGGCTCGCGGCCGGGCAGCTTCATGTACGCGCCGTCCATTCCTGTGTGTCACCTCTCACGACCCCGCTAAGTTTAGACAACTGCCGTGTTGCCCGAGCTATCCCTCTATTTATTCTCTCGTGCTGGGTATATCGGCCACTAAGATAGTTGCTTCGATCATTCGTGTCTCCTGATTCGGACTGAACGGGGAGCCGTGCTGCACGGGATCGGCTGGGAATGGGGCTGCTGTGAGACGTGCGCTACTGGATTTGATATCTCTGCTAACCGTCTCCAAAGCGCCATTGGAACTCCTCTTGAGTGGCCAGAGGCAAAAAAGGTTGCGAGCCATGTACGATCCTGGGGAATTGAAGTAGGTTACGTCCAATATCCAAGGTGAAAGACCAGCAGTGACCTGTCCTGCAGCAACTCCTTGCCATATGGCGGAATGCCAAGGGAAAAGAGAGAGATGCTCTCCTTTGGGGAGACGAGGTAGTTTATCAATTCCTGCCCCATTCTTCTGGCCTGGAACTGACAAGGATATCAGGTAGAATATCTCGTGGTTTGTTACGACCAGGATAACCACAAGGTCCGGCTTTCGCTTCGGCAGGCAGACATTTTGGAAGCATTGGCCACTGACAAAAAGCTTTTACATCAAGGCGGAGGAGTTCCTGATGTGCAGAGAGGTGAAGTCAGGTGAGAATGAGAAGACATCGCCTAGAGTCTGCCTCCCGTTGACATGTCCAGGGAAACGGACACCACCGCACCCGTCTTCCATCCCGAGTTTGGGAGGTTCATGCTTGAGGCTACTCCAGGGAAGCCATGGGGAATTGGATTCAAAGATCTTCTAGACGTTGAGCCGAACATGAAGTGGCGGTATATCCACACGCGCTTAACATTGCCAAAGACGGCGCTGATTTGCCCTGCAGGCGAACAATAGCCAAGGACCACATGGCGAAGGAAGAGTATCCAATCACGTTGACAACTTTCCCTCGTTTAGGTACGCCAGATTGTACTATGCCTTCCTACCCGGTATCGGGCGCAAAACTACGCTCGCAGTTTGTTCCTGATGAAATTGCCAACCCACATATCCGGTTTCCAACGCTGGCAGCCAATATTCGCGCCCGGCGAGGGAGGAAGGTCGAGATCAACGTGCCAGTCTTCAAAGACGAGAATACGATTTGGCCTTTCAAAGACCCAACTGTGAACTATGACCTCCATCAATGGCCTGAAGATGACGACGTCCGCAACGGTGCTGCGAAGGAGAACCACATCTACATGGATGCCATGGCATTTGGAATGGGAAGTTGTTGCCTCCAGATTACTTTCCAAGCCAAGAACATCGAAGAAGGCCGCAAAATGTATGACCAACTCAGCCCATTAGGTCCAATTCTCTTGGCATTGACTGCAGCGACACCGGTGTACAAGGGGTTCCTTGCTGATACAGATGTTCGTTGGAACCAGATCAGCAGAGCCGTTGATGATCGTACCCCAGAGGAGCTAGGGGAAAAGGTATTATTATACTGTCTCTGCCGCAAGACATTACTAACAGTCCACAGCCCCTAAAGAACGATCGATGGCGATTGCCAAAATCAAGATATGCATCAAATTCTACCTACATATCGCAGGATCCGCGCTTGAGGAAGGAGTATCTAGACCCCAACTTAGTATTCGACAAAGACCTCAAACAGCGGCTATTAGATGGAGGGATGGACGATCTCCTAGCCACCCATTTTGCACACCTGTTTATTCGCGATCCCATTGTAGTTTTCGCTGAAGATCTGAAAGAGCTTGACCTCCAGAAAGCAGACCACTTTGAGAATATACAGTCGACAAACTGGCAACACATGCGTTTCAAGCCACCTCCGCCAGGCAGTGACACTGGATGGCGTGTTGAATTCCGACCAATGGAGATCCAAATCACGGATTTCGAGAACGCAGCTTTCTCGATCTTTATTGTGCTTATCACCAGGGCAATTCTCAGCTACGATCTTAATTTTTACATCCCAATCGCGAGGGTCTCAGAAAACATGGAGACGGCTCACATTCGCGATGCCGTCTCAACCCAGAAGTTCTACTTCCGCAAGAACCCTTTCCCATCACGTCCGATTAGATCCGCAAATGGCACATCATCGCCCCAAGCGAACAGTCGACCACCAACGCCGTTCGGACCAGTCGAAGATGAATACGAGCTTATGACGATCAATGAGGTGATCAATGGTCAACAAACCGGTGAAGGCGGATTCCCAGGGCTAATCCCGCTCGTGGAGAACTATCTCAATAGCATGAATGTCGATGTTGAGACTCGTTGTGAGCTTGCGAGATACCTCGATCTCATCAGGAAGAGAGCAGATGGGACTTTGTGGACAGCTTCAAAATGGATCCGACATTTTGTTCAAGCCCATCCAGAATACAAGAAGGATAGTGTTGTGGACGACAATATCAGTTTCGATCTTGTCAAGGCGGCAGAACAAATTACCAGGAATGAGGCGCGAGATGGACTTGGGGCGGAGATGCTTGGGCGTAGGAGGTAGATTGAGATTCTTTGTTGCACTTGCATTAGCGATTTGCATCATAGACGGTACATGTTCACGAGTAAATCTATTATCTTTATTTGCAAAGCGTAGGACTCTATCTGCCTGTTGTTCAGAAGAGGCGTCGCCATTTCCCCATCCCTTTCCCACCCCTCTCTCCCCAAACAACACCGGATTATTCTTCATAAACGCATCGTTCAAACTGTTGCTCCCCAGTTCCTTACACTCTCCCTACCCACTTCAAACTCCTTCAAGCTCCCCGGCATCCCCAACTCGGTAGGGATCGCCCTCAACGCAACAACCACGCCACTCCTTTCCCTATCCAACCCTGCTTTTTTCCCCACAAAATTCCTTTAAGCTTCCCCTACCGATGCAAATATCTATACGCGCCTCTCTGGCATGAGTAGGACTATACTTAATGACCCAGGGCAACAAAACACAATTCCTTTCTCCCATATCCGACACCCAGTGGAACCAACTAATATCCAATCCCATGACTCACACTCTACATAATGCCTTCATAGCTAAATTAACCCCAAGCATAGCCCTCAATCTCGCGTCCAAATCTCTCGAATCCTGCTTTGTTTGCAGAAACCCTGGAGTGAGAAGTTTGAGTGTTTCGGCGGTGGCTTCATCAACACAGGGTTTAGGAATGTTGCTGCAGGTTGCCTTACAACAGTGATTCATTGCTCGGACCCGGAGCCAAGACAGACGCCGGGGGGAGTTATGAGGTTGAGACGTGAGTGTAGGACTATAAAGGTGGCGTATATGCTTGAGTGGGTCTTTTGGACGCGTTATACTGTTGGTACCGCCGGTGTGTTTGTTGTATTCGGTTCCGCTTTGGCTAGTCGGTACGAGTATGAGTGGGATTGTAGCTGCTCTGCTACACCGTCATGTTGAAGGATTCCATCATTGCATCTCTTTCTGTCTTCGATTTGACCTAGAATTTTGGACACGGGGGAGGAAGAGACGTTGGCGAGAGTGTACGAGATGGCATTTAGGCCATCTACGAGTGCGCTTCCACCCAGGGTAAGTAACACGTTGGCCTTTTTAGACTTGATTTCTTGGATGATGAGGATGAGACCATCCCAGTATGGTTGTTGACGTAGTCCAATCCATATCCCGACTAGTTTGGTTCCAAGTGCGGATTGAAGATTAGAGAGACAGAGTGTTTGTTTGAGAGGGAGACTAAGGCTAGGGGGTGTAGGCGCGAGATTTGGAGATTCTGGTGAGGTAGGTGAGGCAGGCTTCAGTAAAAGGGGTATCAGGGGACTATTTGGTTGGAGGGGTGTTGGCCATGGTAGGGAAGAGGAGACGGAGTGTTGGCTCAGCCGTCGAAGGCATGGTGGTGAATTGAAGTGTTCCGGATTTCGAGGGTCTCAGTGGGGTGAATGCTGGTGTTTTCGATTAGATACCATGAAGTTCCATATCTCCTTACATGTAAATAGATGCTGCTATGGGCCATTTAAATCTCCACGTTTACTCTCATGGCCCTCTAAATCTGGAGCCATTCCTATGAGGTTGTTCAGTTGGTTCCGAGGTGCTAGTACTTGAACACTGCTGAAATATACCCCAATCACCACAATCTGGTTACCTTGCACCTAAACCCGATTGACCGTCAGTTTTTAGAAGTGTCGACCTGCCGAAACCGTTGGATCGACTACAGCATGGCAGCATCAGTCCGACTTCTTCGCTGATAGATCGCCCCGGTCAAGTATCATTGGTCAAGTATCAGTGGCTGATATGGTGAGAAGAATTGAGGTTATCGTCCTCTAAGAGGAGAGTAAACCCTGTGACCCCAGGCCGATCTTTGACATTATTTCTAATTCTCTGGTGCTAGATGAGTCAGTGGGAGGAACCTTAGCACAGATTCCTGAATTTTCATGTAGACCGTCTGGCCTAGACAGCTGACAACATGCCTGTGATGGCATACCTATGCTTCAAATCCCACTCCCGCATCACCGTACACACTCCTTCCCTCTCCAGGAACAGAGACGTTGGCTTGGTAGACCTCCCACGCGTCTCAATCTCCTTTCCCTTGCCCTACCATCCCTCGAACAGCTTTCAACCAAGCATACTCCTCTTTCGTCCCCTCAGTCTGACATCCTCCAACCTCTTCAGCACCGTCCTCGCTCCCTTGAAGCTCTCTCCATACACCCTCAGCACCTCTCGAAATAGTGGCTCTGCAGCTGGATGCGTAGCCGCGAACGCCCGTTCCAAGACATACAAATCCACAGCCCTATCCTCATCCTGCACTGTCTGCGTAGCCAAACCAAAGTCTATCAGGACGATATCCCCATTCAGGTTCGGCGGTTGCTGTTCAGCTGTCTGTGACGAGGGTTCCGGTGGAGCGTCTGACTCTGTGATTGCCGCTTCCCTCATAGCGGACACAGTCTGTCTTCCCACGTGCCTCACCCCTGTATTCTTTTCTTGCTCTTGTGACGTATATGCCACCCGCCTCACCATCAGATTAGAAGTCGTCAAATCCCCATGACAAACCCCAATCTCGTGCAACTTGCCCACCGCCTTGCCAACCTTCCTCATCAAGTCCCACAACGGCTCCTCCTTCTGTCTTCCTCCCCCATCAGCTCCTTCCTCCCTTCCTCCTCCTTGTCTCTCCCCCTTCAGCCCAAGAGTATGAATCCACTCATCAAGACACTTCCTAACCGTCCACCCGTCCACCCACTCCAACACGACCCACCCCATCTCCCAGTCCGCGCCCAGCACAGCCGGCACACTCACCCCAGCCCCCTCAACTCCCATAAACTCTTTCCTACATTTCACCAACACCCTCGCTTCAGCTAATAGTCTCGCTTTCGTAAGCCGTTTATCGAGCGTGGGATGTCGGTATGGTTTCGGCGGACGGTATTTGAGGACGCAGGGTGTGGAGGGGGTCAGGAAGGTGGTGCGGTAGACTAGGGCTTCCGCGCCTTGAGTTAGGAGGGTGAGATTTGAGGTTGTGAAGGGAAGGGAGAGGATGTGTTGCGGTTGGGCAGGCTGTGGTTCTGGTGGTGCGGGGTCCGTCATTGTGAGAGAGGACAGATTGGAGGGCTTGTTTCTTGAGGCTATTGGGTGGTTGGAATTGATTTTCTAGCTGTAGAGGAATATTATATGGATTGAAGGGATTGAAGGTTTTGTTTAAAGGGCGGATGTTGTGTCAAGAAATTTTGGTTGTTTGGGAAAGTGAGCCCCGCAGTCTTGAAAAGCTTATCGATAGGGGTTTGCTTTAGAGCCTTGTCGTCCATTGGAGTGAATGTTTCTGGTATATTTCTTAACTCAACTCGCAGGAGGCGGCTGTATATAGATCCATATATACTATAGGAAAACAAGTTAGATTTGAAGCAGACTCCTTTTTCATACACTTTTCATCCTTTTATCCCACCATCTAAACCCAGATCCGAGGTCTAAAGATCTCTTCGACATCAGACATCACGTTGTTGACTTCATATCCGTTTCGACGCACGAACTGTCTTTTCAAATGAGTGTGATAGTATTTAGGTTTTTCATCCTACACTTCCCACCCATCACTCATTCCCTGTTTTGATACGCCCCATCACCCTACCATAAAGGGAGGGAAGCCTCTCTCTCTCTCCTCAGTATCGAAAAATTCAAAGGAATGCACGGAACCACCAGCCACAGGCTAGGAGGCTCGTTGTCTGTACCACTGTTTCGCCTAGCACACCGTCCTCCAAAACCCATCTGTAGGATATATCCTTGTGTAGTGTTCATTCTTGGAGTAGGAAAAATGAAGGAGAAAGACCAGATACCCATCCGCATGCTCATTAAAACAATTCGCATAATAGTTAAACACAGAAGTCAAAAGGGGAGCCTCTGAAGCTCATATAACACGCCCCATCACATGATCCAACAAGACATATTACAATGAACTAGAGAGGCGACGAAGAAGAGGATCATGAAAATAAAAATAAAAATCACTACCGAAGCCTCACCCAAATGCAACCACCGCTCTGTAACAAACAGTAAAGCAAGGAAAATCAAGTCGTGAGTGGCCGTAAGAACATTGTAGCATCTGGTAGAGAAACGCCACAGAATATGCACAAATGAGTGCCCTAACTCAAAGATCTACTTGAGAAGGGTTTCATCACCGTTTCCTCCCATTGTTTCGTTGCTTCTTTAAAACATCGAGCTCTTTCGCTTTTCGGCGCTGGTGAGCACGAGCATTGGCATCTTTCGTCGCTCGCCCGACTGCTGCTTTGGCTCTTCCACCCGGATTTCAACCAAACCACCACCAACTGAGGCACCCTCATCGCTGCTCACGCTGTTGGCGGTGTAGCATCCATCGACGGAAGTCCGGTCACGTGATCGCTCCTTCAATTCTTTCCTCTCTGAGCCAATTGCACCGTTAGCGGCGGCACGTAGGCTTCCGATGCTGGGCTTGCCGGAGAGACTTCCACTTCCGGCGCTGTGGACACTGTCGGAGTCGTTGTCGGAAAGTGGGAAAGACATCTCAGTCTCGCTCACTGGGGTCATGCTTCCATTGCTTCCACTACGGACACCGCGGCGCTCGATACCCGCACGAACAAGACTGTGCACTGCTCGTCGGCGTTGACGGGTAGAGAAGTTTTTGCCACCTTCGTGCTTCGTAGTTGGGCTGGCCTGAAGCTCCTCGAGAGGAGGCGGTCCGCGGGGTTGGCGGATCGGGTGCTCTCCAGCACGGGCTTGGCCGGGGCCAAAGGTGCCTGTGTTGGGGGTCTGCGGAAATCCTACAGGTCGGGTAAAAGCAGACTTAGGGCCATCATTCGGAGTTTCGTTCGACTTATCCAACGCAAGCGAGGAAAGAGTCTTTTTGTGACCACGGCGGAATGCATTGGCGGATGGAGGCGGGAGAGGAACAACGTCTTGTGGTGGCGTCACCGACTTCTTTGGTGGAGACGAGCTACGGGAACTCCATGGGCTTGGGTTCATCTCGTTGGGAGGAGACACCTGAAAAGTCGGAGTGTCAACCTTTGGCGGGGAAGCAGTGAAGCTGGGAGTGGGTGGAGGCGGCGAATGAGAGAGGTTGGACGTAACCATCTGCTGTCGAATATCACCGCCATTCTGTTGCTGGTTCTGCTGCATATCCTGGTCCATGACGTAGTTATATTGGCCAGTCAGTGGGTTGAACGTCAGATACACACCGGGCTGTCCAGTTTCCTGCGGAACCGAGGTGTTCTGGAATTGCTGATTGTACGCATTCATCTGCGGCGTGAACGGAGTAGACGGGAATGGCTGCGACTGTCGTCCAGCGTTTTTGTTCAGATTCATTCCACTGAACTGTTGCGCAGTGAGATTCAGAAGTTGCTGCTGAAGTTGTTGCTGTCGCTGCGCAAGGTACAGTTCAGTGGCCAAAAGCTGGGCGGCAATGTTAGGATCGATATCGCCGTCGTCAAACTGAACAGAAGGTGGCGCCAACACTTGTTCGGCAGTAGAATAGAGCATTGGCTGCTGGCCGAACTGGGTGTGGACATTGCCAGAGAAACCAGATCCAATGGCTGTCTGGGGAACGCCCTGATTCATTCCATTGAAGCTCTGCCTGGAGAACCTTCCTGAGTCCATACTAACATTGTGCTGAGCCTGTGTGTAAGGCGCCGAGGCTGGGGTCTGCGATGAAGTCGGCGTCTTCGGGGCAGTGCGAAGGCCAGCTAGAAGATGGGATCGGCTAGTCCTAGGAGTCGGGGTTTCCACCGAATTCTCAGCGATGGAAGCGACCTTGGGAGGGGCTGCAACGCTGAGACGTTTCAACGAGGCGCCTTTACCACGAGAAGCGAATCCCGCGGTCGGGAGGCCGATGCCGCCGTTAGGCTGAAAGTTGCTGTACGTCATTTGAGCAAGACCGCCAGCGTCCATGCTCATGATGTCTTTTCTTTAATAGGCGGGTTTTTGGGCGAAAAGTAAAGCTGCGGAAAAAAAAAAAAGGTGATGCGTAGACCGTGAGAGGAAAGATAAGAGAATCGAAGAAGATCGCCGAACGTAGCAGTAAAGCAATGGACGACGTTTTTTGGAGGGAACGTTTGGGGCGCTATTCGATAACCAGGAGCGCGAGATGCGAGGATGCGAGTGTTGTACAGGGACGTTTGCTAGAAGGCAGACGTGGAGGGTGCTTGTCGAGATTAGAAGATTAAGGATCGTAAGATCTTGTAAGTAAAGGCTTAAATCGTAAACTGGCCGACGGGCAGTGCAGTTGGAGCTATTAACAAGTTT